CTCTCTCTCTCACACACACACTCGAGAGCACTGGAACGTTTGTTTACGCTCATGATATATTTTTATCATGGGCTGTCATGCACTAACACAAGGTCGCGCCCATGTCTCGCACGTACGCGAGTTGGGGCAATTGAAACATCTTGGTAAACGTATACATTTGTGTCATATATATCCTAATGCGTTGTTACATAATTGAGAGTTCGTTGTTTTCCCTTACTCTGGCCAGTTCTGAGCGAGAACTCAGTGTAAGGGAAAACAACGAATGGTCGATCGGTCAAGGATCACTGCTTTGATTTCCTTCATCTCATGAGATGTCACGCTTGAAGCAGGGCAAAATATTAAATGTGTCATTGTCGTCACTGACTAAATTCGGCTTACTTAAACCGACAGTGGACGCTCCGTCTAAATGAAGCTAGAGTGCCGTGAACATAACTTCAATAGCACCTGCCAACTGCATTCAGGGCGCCGTAAACGTAGCCCGCCAACTACATTCAGGGCGTCGTGAACCTAGCCACTGCGTAAGATGTCTGGTGTTGGCCTCTCATTCAAAGGTCTCGGGTTCGATTCCGTGTGGCGACCAAAAGATTTTCTTATCTAAAATTGTCTCCTTTCACCTCCTTTTCTGCTCTCTAGCAATGTTCTTTCGTCTGCTTTTATCTCCTCTTTCTGCCCCCACCCCCTCACCTTTCCTTTGCCCCTCCTCTGGGCTCTTTCTGCAGCTTTTCTATAATGCTTGTCCTTGGCTCCTTCTTACAGCTGTCTTTGAGCCACATCCCTGATCTTCTGGTAGGAAAGATGTACACCTAGCCTTCTCGGACAAGGGCGAAAAATTTTGGAGGGCCCATGTGCAAGTTGTGCAGGTTATTAAAGATCCCTTGGTGGTCTAAAATTGGTTAGAGTAGGCTTCGGCCACCACCCGGACAAAATTCAGAAATTTCCTACCACCTGAAAAAGTTTTATGTGTCCCACCCGCTCATATGACCTTATGCAGTTGCGAGCGCTGTAAAACACTTTTACCAAAAAAAAAAAGAATCTAGTTTACAGTAATTTACAGAACTTATTTAACTTTGTATATATGACAGGTAAGTCTGTTTGTCACTGTCTAGGCCGTTAAGACTAGATCTAAGTTCTAAGTTGGTACTCGACTTGGGGTAGAATCTAGATTTAGATTCTAACAGATTTTTAAGTTGTTTTTAGTAATCACTATGATCACTTTTTCCCCACTCCAATATTTAAGATTTTATCAAATTAGCCGTAGCTTTATTTAACTTCTGATTAGTGTCTATTTTTTTTCCACTGCACCCAATGAGATGTTCAATCATGTTCACCCCCAAGGTAGTTTTGTATTTCAATAAAAATTATTAATTCATTTCAGTGAGTCTGAGTTTGGGGATTCTTTTTCATTTAAGTGGGCCAGACATTTGGTGAGAGTGTGAGCATCACTTACAAACTGTGGTCAATTTTTTTTAAAAACCAATCCCAGGTTGTTATCCTTTTGTAGGCCTACCATATAAAATAATAATATACTTTGGAGCCGTTCATAAAATTCAGTGAGTCAGTGTAGATGTAGGGTTCTGTTGTGTGCTACTTTTATAATTATCACAAATATGTTTCATATTCTAAATTGGAAATATCCTTGTTCTTTAAATATATAAATATAATTATCTAGTTTAAAAACATTGAGACAGATGTTGTTTTGCATGTCATACTATTTTGTTTGTTTCAGGTTGATGCAATAGATGTTGCCAAAACAGACCTGGTTGCAGCATATGCAATTAATTCTTTATTTTGGAGTAAGTTTCTTGCACTTTTTATTGACATGGAAGAGGCTAGCCGTACTTAAATACGGCCAGACTGGCAGGCTAGCCTTACAAATGACGGCTAGATGGCTGGGCTAGCCGTACTTAATAATGATTTGCAATAGACTGCCTAATGTATTTGTATTTGAGACGAAATCAAAAGGTGCCTTACTGACAGTGCGTGCATGTATTTTAGTCCTGAATAATTATTAATGAGACCTATGTACTCAACAGGCTTCTAATAGGGTCTAAAATAAATAGGGCTAGACTTCTAGGCTTGCCATACTGAAGGAGGGAGGACGGCTAGGCTGGCAGGCTAGCCGTACTTAATAATGATGGCTGAATTCATTTTAGTTTGCAATACCTAAAGTTTGTATTTCAGACTAAACCAAAGATGCCTTACTGACATGCATGTATTTTAAACCTGAATGATTACTAGATCTAATGAGACCTGTGTACTCAACAGGTTTGGGTTAATAGGGCCTAACCTAGATCTAAGTACAGCTAGACGGCTAGGCTAGCTGTACTTAAGTACGGCTAGCCACTTCGTATTGATAAACTGTTTTCTCATAACAGACACTGTTGCCAACTGTCCCAAATTTTCAGGGACTGTCCCAGATTCGGAAATTGGCCAAATCACATACTGCACCAAAACCAATCCCATATGATGCAATTTTGCTCTTTGTTATATACTTACAATTATTATAAATATGTGTCCCGAGAGCGATTTGAAAATTTGCCAAGCCTGTTAAACCCCTTGCTCGTTTAGAATTGTGGATGTTAATTTTGTTATTGAATGTTTCAAGTTTTGCTTTGCCCCTACCTCACTACTAACAGTATAGATGTTTCAGATTTTATCTATGGATGTACTTTAGGTTATTTTATGTTTTAGAAAGGGCCTACTTGTGTAATGAGGAAACTCTAGAGAAGAGATAAAAATAAATTCAGCTGTTTTCTCAATTTTTACAGCCATTTCGTCACTGATATTAATCTACAACATTTGTATCATTGGAAGAAGTATTTTGTTTCTTTTTAAAAATTCCTTCAAGTGCAAGATCTGCTTCAGCTTAAAGCCTTGAAATAGTGTGTATTATTAGTCACACAGTTTAGTTCACTTACACTACAGTGTAACATGGATAACTTGAATTCAGATCATGACCGGACTTGGCAGTTCAAGGGATATCTTACAAATAAAAAGAAGAAGAAAAACGGGACCGCAAGCACCGTTTGGCGGATCTTTGATTTCGAGCCTTCTGTTATTGACCTATCCGTATTACACTGTACATTTTTTTCCTGTCTAACCTGGGTTTTTTTGGTGTTTTTTTCCTTCTCCAGTGTATTTAAATGTCTGTGGAATAAATCCTAAGGAGCATGCAGTGAAACAAGAACTGGTACGTAACCTGCCAAATAATGTTGCTGTATTATTTCCTAGAGATTGCCTTCCTTTAGTAGATAATCTGTTGTGTTTTGCTCTAGTGTTAGTAATGTGATTATGCAGTCTTGCATTAGAGTGTTTTATTTATGATAAGAATGATTTTATTTTTATTTCTTCCATGTTGTAGAGGTTTGTTGTGCTAGATATTTATTTTGCAAGTGCTGCAACTTATTTGATCATAAGTTTAGGAGTCTGGACAATATATATATATATATGCTTTTTAAAATATTTTTTTTGTCTCTGCAAGTTAGCCGTTAGCCATTACTACAGTGGAATTCAGATTCAATAAAGTCTCAGGCCTGACTCTCAATTTAGTTGAATCCGAGTGTTCGTTACTAAACACAGTTAGTTTCGTTTCAAATTTTTTTTCTTTGGTGCCATACCGAAGAAATCTTGGAAAATACACTGAACTCTACCATGCACACACTGCAAAGGGGCCGATTCGTTCAAATGCATGCCTTTGTCATCTATCATATATATTATATAATGCATTGTTTGCCACTCAAATTATGTTGCTGTGCAGGGCCTGCCATACGGCAACGTTTGATTCCACCGTCCAGTGCGCAATTCATTACGTAGATCTACGTCAAGTCTACTTCTTCGTTGTAATATTGATCAGTGAGGGGGGGGGGGGGGGGAGATATCTGTAATGCATTTGTATCTCTACTGATGTTCCACGCCCAGACCACTTGTGCCTCCTCCTCCTCCCTCCCCCCCTCCTCCCCCAGACACAAGCATACACTGTCAGACATTACACTATGATGGCCGCTTGTCCGACCTCGACAAATGCTAAGACATTATGCGTATTAACAATGTGTGTTTTGGTAAATGTTTTAAGGCGCGCACAAATGCATTTATATAAGGTCATATGAACACATGACACACATTGAAATTAAGCATTTTCTGTGCCGTTGGGATTATATTTGAATTTTGGCCGGATGGCGGCCGAAGCCCTATCTTATTGATTTTAGGATCACCAAGGGATCTTTTACGTGTGCAACTAGCAGAGATTTTTCGCTGTTACCTGAGAAGACTAGATGTTTGATATTTCTACCTTGGTAGAACATGATTAGAGAGCAGAAAAGTGGGTGAAAGGATAGCGTTTTAGAAAAGAAAATTCTCCTTTGCTGTCAGGTTGCGAATGAGAGGCGAGCACTGTACCTCTAGACCGTGAGAACCCCCTGTGTTAATATGAAAGAAAGCCACTGATTGGTTGCATAAGAGGACAAACAATCAATAACATAAGCGAATAATGGTTCCTGATGCTGGTGTCATGGATGGTTTCCAGGAACAGATGTGGTTCGTTGCAGGAGAAAAATGAGCGAAGTCACATCAGCGGGGGCTGTTGACCCTGGAAGTGACTTCTTTGAGTTTGAGCTTGCTCATTTGTGTGCTGATTCTGGGTTGTTCTTTTAAAAATATTTTTATGAATTTAAATGACTTGGAATCCAACTCCTTTAGTTGAATCAGAGTTCCGCTGTATCATGTGCCTTAGAACAATTTGTGAGGGTGCAAAACGGTACCCCTGAAGAAAAGTTATTCTTTTTCTAATCTTCCTCAAACTTTAATTTGTTCTGATAACAATGAGTTTTATAAATATATTATCCACATTATGCAGCAAATACTATGTTTTTATTTGTATTTAAACTGTATTTTGTCCTTGATATCTCACCCTCAAAAGATTTTTTTTTCTGTTTCATCAGACAAGAATTCAAAGTTATATGGCCAGAGTGAAAGAAGTTGAAGAGAAAAAGAAGGAAAAGGCAAAAGCACCCAAGCTTGACAAAAAGGCCAGCCGGCGGTTTATCATGAGTGCATTGTGGCTCTCAGCTCAAAAGAATGAAGGTAAGACTTTGACAGAGTAAGCTGATAGTGCTATGAAAATAGTTGCTGAAGTGAGTGCAATTGTGCTGACTTCAGGCACATAGTTCATTTTAGAGCAGCATTTCTCATATAAGTCAAGATGTTCCATTCAAGTACAGTGATAGTTTTGGAAGTTTTTTATAATGCTTTTTCTATTAAGCCAAAGCTCAAGAACTTCTGTTTCCAACTCAGTTGGGAGTGCAAAGCGACTTGATTTTGGTGTCTGATTGCCTTTCTCTTGCTTAATTTGATGTCTACTTCAGACTCAAAATGTCCCCCCCCCCCCCCCCCCCTCCCCGGTGCCACTGGCTGAAGTGTCCTTAGGCCATTCCCAAAGGGGGGACATTTCTCGTTCTTATGCACAGTAGAATTGTAAATGGTCTGATTTATCAATGTCATGCTCATAACTGTGCCTGAACTACAACAGGGAACTGCTACTTTTTCTTTCCTAATCCTTACTTTCGTCATTTTCCTCTACTTTTGTATGTTTGTCACACTCTTGTGACCTGCTATTTCCAGGGTGCTTTGAAAGTTGAAACAGACTTTTGTGCTGTTGAAGCTACAGAGGTGAGCAGAGTAAGCCTGATTCCCTGTAAAGACTTCTCTGTTGACATCCACCCCTTGGCGCTTTTATGACCTTATGCAGTTGCGAGCGCCGTAAAACTTCTACTAAATTTTTTTTTATTAATGTTGTTTTCAAGACTCTGCATGTTAAGCATTGGTGAAGAAAATTTTGAGAAAATAGATATTGAGTTCACAAAATATGGCGTTATCCGTTAAAGTAGTGACACTTAAGACATTTCATATTTTGGATGAATTCCCTGTAAAGAGGATGTAGACTACTTTAGTCTTATTGGAATTCGTATTTTATAATTTTTCCTAGTGGTGGAGTGTGGACTGAATTTCCGTGTGGCAACTTTTAAATACTATAAAAAGTTAATGTAAATGAGCCTTGTTTTCCAAATTTTAGAATGAACACCCATATTATTATATTTATTAACGTACAAGAATTTTGATTGAATTAATTTATTTTCAATTGTTTGTTTTTTTAAGGGGGGGGGGGGGGGTGCTTTGTAGGTGTGTTTTGGATCAGTCCTAGCCAGTTAGTGTGGATTGTATAAATTTATTGACCCTCTGGTAATTGTTAACCCTGGTTTCCCAAGCTGTGTATTACTTTTTTTAATAAGATGAATGGGACTCTCTTTTGTTCATGTCCACTTCAATTTTTGTATGTAATCAGGACACTGGTTGCCAGTCACAAAGTTTCCAGTTTACAGATGTTGATCCAAAGACTGTGATTATTTATTATGAATAAATTTTAATGTGCATGAAAGCTGAGGAGGAAATTAAATTTTTTATGTTTAATCCCCCATTATTCAATATTTTTTCAGAGACAGGAGCTTCTACGTCTGCATCACAAGAAGAAGGCCAGGAGACACAAGCTGAACAGCAGAATGTGAAAAGTCAAGGCAAGAAACGAAGACGGGATGAGAGATGAAATCCCAGTTAGGGTAAACTTAACTGGGAGAGGGAAAGACATTGCTCGATTAATTATGACTCAAGCCGTTGCCGTATATTTGCATGGATTCCAGGAGTCTTACAAGAAAATTAACCATTTCTTCACATAATTTTTGTTTTCACTGAAACTGTTACTAAATTTGTTTCACTGAAACTTACTTTTATTTTGGCTACTAGAAACAAGATTCTTGATTTGATTAGACCTCTGTGCAGCATAGTACACATTGGTAGAGGCCTTGTGTATACATATGCAGTCAAAGTCCTTATAAATTGCACATGCTTGTCGCAGCTGTGTTTCTAAGATCAACAATATTCCAATCCATAAGACAGTGAGGGTTGGATTTTCATCATTACTTTGTCTGGGGCTTGTCCTAGTCCTTCTGACTCTGTTGCTGTCACATACTTCATGCACTCTTTCTGTTTTTTTCCTCCATGTAGAGATCCATCTATGAACCTGTTCCCGCAATAAATTTTGCATTGCACATATTTTTTTAGAGTCTGAATAAGTTGTAAGTTAGAGAAGTAAGTATAGGCATAGACTGAAATTCCTCACTCACACAAGACCTGGTCTATGTATTTGGATGGATGGATGGATGGATAGAGTAGAGGGATACCTGGATGATGTGTGTATTATGTGTTCATGTACATAGCCTGTGTATATTTTGTCCATGCCCTTTTAACTTTTATCACTTTAGCAGTAGGAAAGCTTGGATTTGTATTTTGTGTGTTAATTCCAGTTGAGAGTTTTTGAATTGATCAACAATCATAACTTAAATAAAAGCAAGTGAAATACATGTATCAAATTATGGTCTGTACTTGAAAATTAAGAGAAAAAAACACCTTCTACTGATCAGATTGCATTTAAGTCAGAAATTTGATACAGTAGTCTCCGCCTAAACGCACGCCATACAAAAGCATGCTCCGCTCAAAGCACGCTTTCGTAATGAACCTGTTCCCGCAATAAATTTTGCATTGCACATATTTTTTTAGAGTCTGAATAAGTTGTAAGTTAGAGAAGTAAGTATAGGCATAGACTGAAATTCCTCACTCACACAAGACCTGGTCTATGTATTTGGATGGATGGATGGATGGATAGAGTAGAGGGATACCTGGATGATGTGTGTATTATGTGTTCATGTACATAGCCTGTGTATATTTTGTCCATGCCCTTTTAACTTTTATCACTTTAGCAGTAGGAAAGCTTGGATTTGTATTTTGTGTGTTAATTCCAGTTGAGAGTTTTTGAATTGATCAACAATCATAACTTAAATAAAAGCAAGTGAAATACATGTATCAAATTATGGTCTGAACTTGAAAATTAAGAGAAAAAAACACCTTCTACTGATCAGATTGCATTTAAGTCAGAAATTTGATACAGTAGTCTCCGCCTAAACGCACGCCATACAAAAGCATGCTCCGCTCAAAGCACGCTTTCGTAATATGACAGTTTTTTTCACTATATTATTTAGGCGTACAAACGCACGGTCACTCGTTCAAAGCGCACGCTCTGATCCGGGAAACACACCTTTAGGTAAAGCTTGACAAAGGGAAATTTTCACTACAATCTGCACAGCTTGCACGAGACAAGCCTAGAAAAACCGTCCCTTTGGTGAGACTGCCCCTCATGCCGAACAAAGAGAGTGATGGATAGCGTTTTCACACCCAACTTTCCACAGACACTTAGGCCTAGGTCTGGGACTGGTCGGTGAAATGTTGGGGGACTGAAAGTGAAATGTTTTTTTATTGGTCACTGGAAATGCATCTTTGAGAGAAGATTTCTGACTGGTGTTTGGGTGACTGCATGTAATGTTTCGTTAGACCTAGGCCTATGATGGGCTACACTTGTGAATGCTGTAAAACACTAGATTAATGCTTCTAAAAGATAAAAGATTAGTCAAGTAAGCCTAACAGCTTCGCTCGAAGAACTTATAACGTAATTGTTCAACGAATCACAAGAGAAATGTTTCTCTGAATGTAGAGATCTATGTCGTTCATGAATTTACGGTCGGGGGTGGTCGCTTGGAAAGCCATGTGGCTGGGCCATCGTCTCTTTGACTGTCACCGAAAATTTCCTCCTAAGCTATCTGTTTCCAACATTTTATGGTGCATATCATTACATTGAATCTGTCTTTCTCTTCTGCTCCCCCAACCCATGCAACGCCTTTGTATTCTTAACCACAGTTGGGGAATCCTTCACAAAACAGTCACGTGTCATCACATTATCGGCCCAAAGTGACCCCCACCCCAAAGGGAGGTCACTAGAATATCAAGAAATTGAGATGAATGAGTCCCTTCCTCCCTTTTTGCACAGGTTCATGTAAATGCACGCTCCGTAATAAACACACACTAGGCAGCCCTCCCGAGCACCGTGCGTTTAGGCGGAGACTACTGTAATAGTTGCATTGCTTTTGGGCTGACTTTTTGAGAATGGCTTGTAGAAAGTTCAGATCCTAAACAAGGTAAAGTAAATAAAAATTAAATTCTGCTTTTATTGATAGTCTGTCTTAATTGAAGAATAGTGATTTTTAGCCTTGCTTTTATTCCTAAAAAGGTAGACTGAGTGATGCAGTGGAAGTTATGTGTTTACTTTGCATGATAAATTTACTTGTTGCGTGATAGTTAATAGTTATATCATGAAATACATTGAATAAAGGCAGAGGAGTTTGCTTAAATTGAAAACAGTGGTAAACCGAGATAAAATGGTATTCCTCGGTTTGCTGTTTGAGAAATCTCTCTAAATTGAAAACAAGGCTAAACCAAGGAAAATCTAGTGATGCTGCAGGTTTTGGTTTTAGCAGACTCCTCTATATTCAAGAGTGAACAAGATGACGTTGGTTTGAGGAAAAGAAGATTGTGCAGTGTACAGTATGGGAAAGATGTGAGAGCTTGTAATCGTGCTATTCTATTTGTAATTTGTGTTGAAAAACTAATGGCAGCCTCTTTTTGCCTCTTTTGAAGGTTGAATAATAAAATTCATGTTATTTAAAAAAACAAAAAAACATGGTCTATGCTGTTCTATAGTTAAATGTTGCAACTTTCCTTTTGTAAAAAAAATAATATACTCTTGACCATATGCTGGTAACAAAGACAGGTGTCCTGATGAACTATGCAGTGAACCCCACTTATAACAGTCTCGGTTATGACAGGGTTTTGGCTATAGCAAGCTTACTTGTAATTAATCCCTGAGCCTGATTTCGTATAATGTTTATGGAAGAAAAGTTTGTTTATATTTCATGTGTCACAATGCGGTGGAATCATGCGCTCGTCAATTTTGGGACATATGGAGTTATTGGTATTGTTGTAAAGCCTGTCCTTTTGCCTTGCTTGTGATGAAAAAAATATTAATTTATCTCGGATACAAGTCAAGATATTGGCGTTTGAAGGGGGTGTGGATCACCTGGTTACAGATGTAAAATTAACGAGAAAATGGGTGCTAAAGTTGAGTTATTTACTTAGTTTGAGAGTCTGTGGAAACTGAAAATTTACATCTCTTATGCCTTTAATCAACTTTTTCAGTGAAATCTGCTCCCAAAAAAATTGATAAAAATTCCCAAACCTGTAGGAAAATGCCAATTTCTTGACTTTCATTATTTTGAAGAGCGCCTGATTTCACCACTTTGCCTCACATATAGCAGACCTTTGGAATAAGCATGCTTAACTAACTATAAGAGTGGTCCAACCATTGACAGACTTCTGCGACACATGGACAAGAAAGCAGAAAAATGTAAATGAAACTAAACAACATTCAGTCCCGTCCATCAATAACAGCCTCTGTTATTACAGGGACTTGGATATAACAGTGATAAATCAAGTAGCCTACCCGTTGTTTTTCCTCTATAAGTGTAAGTAAAATGAACCTGGCTATAACAGGGTTCAGTTTGCGCAGACTCGGATATATCTGTGCAGGGTTCCCGAGGCCTCCTTGAATTCAAGGAGTCCTTGAAAACTGCTTGAATTTGCATTCAAGGAAAAATCTCCTTGAAAACTCCTTGAATTTTGCCAGATCGGAGAGGAGCACGTGTACAGGGTGACTGCCAAGCCCCCGGGGTCCCCTGGAATTACCCAGGAATTTGAAAAAAATCGCCGAGATCCGGAATGCAACGGGAATTTGAAGAAATCTGTAAATTGCCCCGTGAAAGACCCGCGGAAATACATAAAAGTTCTCGAATATATTTGAAAACCAAATCCGATAACGTCCTTGAGTTCATTTTTGCCGGTCGCGATTGTGATATAATACTTATTTGGCCTTTCCCGGCCTGAGAGTACGTTACACGCGCACATGCGGTAATGGCGGCAACAAGTGGAAGTATGTGCGATACCGGAGCTGGATCGGGAAAATCAAGATCTACTTTCGCTTTCGTTACCACCCAGAAATTTGCCGGTAGGGCCTATAGTAGTCTGATAACGCCACATTTGTAACATGCAGGCTCTGCATTACATACGCTGTGTCGCCATGAAAATAAATCGTTTGTCCTGTGCTGTCACGTGTGAAAAAAACAAAAGAAAAAGAAAGTTATACAAGCTTCTTGTCGGGCTCGCCATCGTGACAGTAAAAGTAGAAGGAAATTCTGTTGGCATCTGTGCTGTGGTGTAGCATAGGTGCAGTGCTGTCATGTGCAGAAGACCACAGTTTCATTCGCATATGGAGAGAATTTTTATCAAGAATCACTGCCTTCTTGTTGGAACGTTGTATCCCTCTCTACCCGGATTGACTCTGGCAGGCAGGGTCAAAATCAGCTTCCTACATACATGACCTAAATAGTAAATGGTGATGAGAGCGTAAAAACCCAACCATTCAAAAAGAGAAAGGTAAATCCTCTGTCACTGTGTTTTGACTGCACACTAATTATGGTATTACTCCTGTCTGGTTTGTCTCTATTTGGAAATGGTGGCATGTGACAAGTTTTGGAATTATTTTTGTTTATGTGGGGGGAGGGGAGTCTATTACCGTACCAATGTTCTGAAAACTAGCTTGGGTAAAAAAAGGGCCCAGAGGTATCCAATATTCCATCTTAGCGATCTTTTTGTCTGCCTGGGCTTCCCATGTTAGTGTTAGGCCATAAATCAGTGACAGGTGACCGGCAGTTTCATGCGTCGGGTCAGGGATTCTATCTTGTCCTTATCAGTCCGAATGCGTTTCTTCCCCTAATTTCATGAGCCGTACAAAGATGCTCACTCTACCCCCTGAATCTGTTTCTTCATCAATTTCACTCATCTACATGTTCTTGATATCCTGTGAAAGTTTCACCAGTTTTCATTTATTCGCTTGGGAATAATAAGTTTTAAATGGTGAATGTACAAATGTGGATGGAAGTGCCATTGTGAATTTAACCAGTTCAAATTTAAATACAAATTGTTCCAAAATGAGGCGATTGTTTTCGCTTCTGTTTGTGTTCTGTGATGATAGTCATCAAATCATATTTTCTAATGATGTGAATTTTGTTTCTGCATCACTTTGCACTAAATTGCAATAAGATAGTGAATTGTGTTCCTAGGTAAAAGTTGTTCAACTGCAATGGAGCACACTTTCAAGAGCCATAGGCAGTCTCTAAATAAACTTTGTCATGTGTGTGGGCATTTAAGTTTAACTGTCAAACAAACAAAAAATGTTAAAGAAAGCCCAGATTGTTTAAAACCATAGCAGGAGATATTCTCTTATTTTATGGGACTGACGTGAGGGACGAAGATGAACAGTCGTTTTCCGCTAACATTTGTGTCATGTAGCCTATTTCACTGCAATTTCAACAAACGAAAAGCGACAAAGTGTTACGTCAATTCACGCCGAAAAAAACGCTGTTGAAACTAGTAGTTAGGGATATATTATGGTCTGTCATTAAGAATTACATAAATGTGAATTCCTGCTCCATTTGTCGTCATTGCTTGCATTGAAGAAAAGCTGCAACTCCGGAGTCGAGCTGCTCACATGATGACACATCACACACATTTTATAGTCCCGCTATAATTTAAATGATGACAAACCAAATCTTATTGCCAGCCCTACAACCAGTAGCCATCACATTCCCATCCAGCCACAAGCATTATGAAGAAACAAGTCTTGACCTAACACCACATCAGATCTCATCACCTCATCAACACTTATGAAAAGTTCAAGGTCACAAACACTCACATGTTAACAGATTCGTCAACATCTCCGATGTTCAAACATGATATGATGAACTTACATTCACTCACTCATTAAACAAGCCAGAGGATCAACTTCTAACAAAAGAAGAAGAGAGACTAAGCACACATCTCATCAAAAGAAAATTAAATTCTGATCCAAAGAAGAAAGTTGTGAAAACATAAGGAGAGCCATTAGTCTTACAGAGTAAAAATGCTCCCCGGAAACAGACATAAAAGTCAAGACACCAGAGTACACATAGTCGACACATCCAAACAATCAGATGACATACAAAAGGCCACTGAATTGAAGAGGATACCTTCTGTTCGGAGACATGAGATTTTTTAGAGGGGCTGGGATTAAATAGACAACCCGGTGCAGTATAATGACAGGAGGATACACATTCCATTGGAAAACAGTCGTGAATGAGGGGAACTGCTTTAGTTATGATGCTCAGGACAAGTCCACTACTGTTGCAGACACAATTTTGAGCGAGTCAATTTTCAAACACATATAATATTATTCCTGTTTTATGTAGGCCTACCAGTTTTGTAAATATTTATCAACAAATTAAAAAATTATTAGTCACTGAAATATAATATGTGTTTGTTGTTTCGACTAACTAAAGATAGACTGACATATATTCAAGGGCATTTAACTCCAAAACATGAGCAGCTATGGTATAGCTCCTTCGTACCAATAAAAAGATTAGTTGCTTTCTCTAAAGAACAAACAGTCCTGTACATAGGATATTATTTGTTTGTGTAAGCTGATAAAAATGTGTTGAAAAAATTCATTTTAATGGCTGTCCACACAGGGGTGTGAAGTGGGGTTGATGTCCTCTGTCTGACCCGGCCAACCGTGACCTGGTCACTCCACGCCAAGCGAACTAAAAGAGCTGCGTTTGTACATTGTGTATGATGCTTGCTTCTCATGTCAAAAGCACTGATAACTGGTTCATAAGCCTTTTACAAACTCTTTTTTTCTTTCGAGGGTGAGATGGAGGACCCATTTTTCCAAGTGATATCAGCACCAAAAAAATCAAAGGTCTTTTTCTCAAAACTGCTGTGAATAAAAATAGCCGTTTTATCAGCTCATGGCAAAAAAAGTGTAGGGGCCTACTACTAGACCTATGCATTGAGTAAAATAAAAATTAAAACCAAGACAAGTTATGACAAGATGGATTTTATTTTTTAATGATTGGTCTACGTGCTGTAAAAGACATATGATGAGGAACAACATTATGTACATTGCGAAGCATTAAAACATTTTAAAAAAAGAGGTAGCCATGGTAGACATAGAGACAGAATCCATGTATACAGTCAAACCCCGTTCTACCGTCAGCCGCGTTTACCACCAGGTTTTGCCAATGTACAAGGAACGCCTCTATATAAGCAAAATATTTACAAGTACGCTTTTACTTTTACACCCCCATCTGCCAACTGTCTGAGTAGTACCGTCCTTTTAGACTAATGTAAATTTGCCATATTATACCGCCATTGAATTGGCTGCCAGAGGTGTACACACTACCTACATAAGGTGCACAGCAACCACTGAGTGGGTACTTGATAATGTCTTTCCCAACACGTCTCTCTGCGAGTTCGGCCTATTTCTAGCGTATGTCACTAATTTTCTCCTGACTTTGATTCGAGTCTTTCACAAAAATTAGATGCTATTACTTTTAGTAGGTTTAGGTTTTGGTTAAACATTTTTTTAAAAAGTTGGAATTAAATTCTAACGACAAATTTGCCTGGAGAAGTATTAAAGGGACTATGTCACCTTGGCCTGTCAGCTGCTGGTGTGCACCTGTACCGCTTTTATATTGTGAGGACTCCTACTGAAGTCTACATGAGAGGTCTGAGGCAGCGTGAAGACTGACAAGTAAGCTATCAGGTTACCAAAAAAAATCGGAGGTCTACAGGGTCCTTGACAAATAGCTTCTGTCTGATCCATTAAAAAATGTCAATATGAATTTATGTAAAGTTTAGCTGAAGCTGTATACAGTATACGTAATCGCTTGCAACTCGTTTTTCCCCTGCTCATGGCTACCTTGACACACAAGACGTAAGACAGATCTATCTAGATGAGGAATGACTGGCCACAGTTTGTCTTTAGTCTCTACCAGTCTACCACTTGTAAAGATGGCAATTGGTACCATATATGGTTATACCGCCAGCCCCGTTGTGCCGCCAATTCCATGCTTGTCCGAAGGTAGATGGTATAACAGGGTTTGACTGTACATGATAGATAATACATAATGCATGTGTATGTGAACAGACAGCGTACACTCAATATCATAACTAGAACTCACCAAGCCTTTATCGTTTTATTCAAGTCTGCTGTAATGTAATGCACTGATAAAATGTAATAGCAACAAAAATGTAAACTTTTGTACTACATGTATGTAGGCTACAAATAATTGACAGCTTCTTGCTTCTATTGAAAAAAAAATACCATCCATCTTGAAGAATAGAAGTCGAGATACATGTATTTGTGATTGAAGGAGGTGGGTGTCAACAGTAAACTTAGCAAGAAAATGGCCGCCACAGTATGGTGACTTACAAAGCTTGAGTGTAAACTGTACACATACTTGAAAGCTGTTCATTTACAATTTTTGTGCCTTTAACTTTAAGTAACCTTTTTCAGTAAAAATTAAAAATCTACACAGAAATGTGTTTCTAAATACTAAACAGACTTAAAAACCAAAAAAAGGGATATTCCACCCAAAAAAACTGCCAAAAGGCCAGAAAAAAATGCTGTTTTTTAGTATATTTTTATTTCATTCTTTTTTATGAGCACCTCATTCGCAATCATATTGTTGTAAGCTATACTCTGAAAACTCTGCCTCTTGGGTACCTATACTATACGTTTATAACCATTATTTAGCAATGTAATGGTAGTATGGAAATAAAATGAAAATGGACTTATTGTAACTAAAGTAGTAAAAGCTAAATAATAATTGGTGCGAAAGGCAAAGCACACTACTTGATGTTGCCAAAGTATGTGCTACATCACATAATGCTTGCATAATCTAAACTAAGACATAACATCAAATTCATCAAACATGAGGACACTCTTTACAGTAATAAAAAAGTTACAAAAAAATGGCACAAAGAAAAACATATATGTGAAGTTGGCCGACACGATTGTTTTTTAATGCAAAATGTACAAATTTTCAAAAACCTCATTACTATGAATGACCGGTGAAATGGTAGGGTAAAAAAACAGGTACATGCATATGGTGCATTATTTTGTCCAATAGGATGGATGGATGTGGAAGATAACCCATGGGAGCAGGGTGCCTGCAAACTTCAAAACCACAAGCTACAATCAGAAAGTTGAACAGCTTCTTATTCAAGGGGAAAATTTGATTTCTGTGCAATAAATAACTATCACAGCATATATAAAATAAAGAAATATAGATTTTCATGTTTTGACCCTTGTATGTCATCCTTTACTCTTTCCGGACGTAGCTTTTTTGGGTTAAGACGTAATTAATTTTTGGCTCGATCTGGCTACACATGAGATGTACAAAATAACATTATATATAAAGCATAAAACCATCACTCAAAAGGTAACGGTAACATGTGAAATGTCAAATTGTAGAAAATTGAATGAGGGTCGGAGTAGGTGATGGTGCTGAGAAACACTCACCAAACATGTGAAAGCAATTAAATAAGCAAATATATATATGGAAGAGCATAATCCACATACTTCTGAAAGCACAAATTTTTTTTTTTTTCAAGCAATACTCCAATTTTCATTTGAGTAATGATATTTCTACCGAGTCTGGTTATATAGTTTCATTGGTGCAAGATTGCAAGAATGAATTCACTCATTTGTTATTACTAGACTGACATTTTGACAAAGAGAAATTTGAAGTTTTTGTTTTCTAAATCCTTTCCAAGTTTTCTAGAAACAGTAATAAGTACTTATGAATAACGGATCATGCTAAAATGAAACAAAACAGAGACACCCCATCGTTGCCGATACGATATGTCCAGAAGAGGTATGGACTCATGCAAATATTGAGTGATACCTCCGGAAAGAGTTATGTTTAAGTACAAATGTACATAAAACAGATACATAAGAAATTAAAACAGAGGAGTTTTAATTTTGACCTTGTATTGCTAGCTTATTTTGAGGCTTTTCTTTCCCACTGAAAAGCAGATGTGAGCCTTTTGTAAACTTCGGGGGTGAATAATGAAAAAAATTCACAAAATAAAAAAAAAAATACTCAAGAGAGAACTGAAACTTTAGAAAATTGTCTTCAGGCCACTCCGTAGCTAATATGTATGATGGCAACTGCACTTTACCAGTCCCTTGGCGCAGAACGTTTGACTCCTTCACGCGCCCCAGGGACCTTGGCAACAAATAAGGTAAACATATCATCCAGCTCATGGCAGGTGGCATCAAAATTTGCCTTCTTTATTATGTCTACCATAACATTTCGTCCTGCACAGGGACCCAAAGCGGCACTGTTTGGCTCTTGAAAGCTCTCTGGTAAACACATAAATACACTCAAGGCATAAAACCCAGCAACTGACATATTTCCAACGGACTCTTTATGGGTTCCACGAGACGAACCAACAGGTTCCACAAAAGTATACACACCACCTGGCTCTTTCAAAGTTTTCCTTATTGAGGCAACAGCCCCTTGAGGATTTGGTAGATCGTGTATAACATCAACAGTCATCACCCAGTCATATTTGTTCACCAAATCTTCACTGAGGTGGCAGATATTGTGCTCTTCAAAGGCCAAGTTTGAAATGTGACCCCATTTGGCTTTCAGCTTCTCCGTCAGGTCACTGTTTACTTCCGATGCTGTAAATCTACTGTTGGGGTACTTGGTAGCCAGTTCTGAAATCACATTTCCACACCCACAGCCAAATTCAATAACATCAATGCCAGCCTCTGCAGATAGAAGAAAAGAATGACTCAGTCAATTTGATCTGACGATATTTGTATACTATATATGAGTACTGTTTTCCATTTTTTCATCACCATGAACTTTCTTATATATATATATATTATAACTCAGTTTATATTTTATTTCACTTGCTTAAAATAAATGCCAAAAGAGAGTAGACATCAATACTCCATGCAACAAATATATAGTTTGATTTTGTAGATAAGATATATTATTAAGTAGGTGTTTTACGGCATTTGCAACACAGTAAGGTCATATATTAGTGCCGAAGATTAGAGGTGTTACAAGAGAATAACAAAAAAGAAGGGAGGGGAGATAAGGATGATAGATGTTTGATAGGAAAGAAGGAGCAAACCATACCAGAGCACCCGCCAGCCAGCCACATAGATATGATGGATATGCTCGGGTTACATAAACTTTTCTTATGACTATACAACCAAGCGATGTTGTTTCCCAGCAGAACTGGTGAGCAGTATACTAAGACTAAGAGTTTAATTTAATGTCAAGGACCAGTATAATGTGCACTCGCTGTTCACTACAAAGGTTTTGCACTAACAACAAGAATTTGAATAGAAGAGAAGAAATAACTACCATCATACACTTTGCAGGGCACTTTTTCTTCAACACTAAATGCCTTGTGCAGCAACTCCTAAATTCGAACGGCTACACAATTTATTCTCTGATTTCCAAAGTACTGATCAGAACCAATGCAAATCATCAGAAATGCAGCTATTTGATATTTGGAATTTGAAAATACCCTTGGCAAGGAAGCAACTGGCTTTTAAATCAAAATTACAGATGTCTAAAAATTTATCAGGATCAAATTTTTACTGAAGAATGCAGAAGATACGTACCCAGCTTTCTTACTAATTCAGGGACATGCCTTAGGAACGTGCTTATGGTAGAACTGTATGAGAGCATGTTGAATTCACCGATAACTTGATGTGCCTCCTCCCCATAATGATGACCTGTGGTATGGCCAAATGAGTATTAAAAAAATGTAGTGAAACTTATTTTTCATTGCATTTTAACAATTGTATAACATAATATGACGAAGAGCATGTAAATATCATATGCCTAAAAAACACTTTTAGCTTTCAAGTATGAGAAATGGGGACATAGGTTTAAGAAAATAGTGTATCGGATGAAGAAAAGGTCAAGGCGATACATGTACTTGACTTTTCATCCCTTTGACAGGCAACAAAGTCACATCTGCCTCTTCAAACAAACTATTAAGTATATTACACTATAAAGTTTGCCCTCACATCATACTACTGAGGATTATTTAAAGCTGCGTGTCAAACTTACTTCTAAAAGCGTCAAAATACATTGAAATATCTCAAAAACATCACAACTTTGATAAGACATCATCTGTACACAATTTGTTTTTTTTTTGGTCAAATGGTCATAACTTCAACTTCAGTCAAGGTACTGTGTTCTTGGGAAGTCCATTATAAATTTCTTTGCTGAGTATGATGCACAAATCCAATGAAATAGAATTTTGGAACATGTATTGTTTGTATTTGTATGGAGTGTAGACAAAATGGGTAAAGTAAGTAGCTAAAATCACTAGAATTACAAATAGATAGGCAAGGGACGTTGCATTAGAAAACTGTCTACTGCCTATAGCAAGTCTATAATAATAGTCGATGTTAAATGAAAAATAAATGCGTAAAAAGCTACACATATGATACAATGTAGGCCTACAACTTTTCAATTTCAAGCATGGTTGTGAGAAAGGAGCACTGCTTGACCCTATCCATACGCCTGGGGTCATATTGTACCCAAGGGGTATTTTTCATATTTTAGAATACTTCTACAATAGGCGAAGATCTCTTTGAAACTTTCTGTATTTCTCAAAAAACCATTTTGACAGACTGCTATGCAAAGCGTATGGATTGGATAACGAGTAAATTTCCTCTTTGGAAAGTAGGGGCGAGTTCCCTACGTCATATGGAAGCGATAGTAAAACACGACATAGGCCTACGGATAGGGTTACAAAGATGAAAATGAGAATTAAAAAATGAAATATTGCTTTTTCCATTCACAATTCAGTGTCATAATAGGACAAAATCATGACCAGTCATTTTAACTGAGGCTCCATCCACCAGTACTCTTTTAGGTGCTACAATCCAAACAAACAACAATTAATTAATTCAAACTTGAATATAATTATATAATCAACAATAAAAAATATTAGCCTAATTTAATACATTAACCAGCATTAGAGTGATTAATATAAACACTTTTAAAGAAGTATGGCAGTGACTACCATATAATCCTTAAAAATTTCTACAACCAACCATATGGACCATCCAGTGCAAAGCAGGCTCTCACTTTGCTGTACACAGATGCTAAACTCATGGTAAAGGAAATGCAGGGCATGATTCCGCTATCTTCCAAAACCCTTTTCTCATCATCATTAAGGAAGTACAAGCTGTCCCCAGATTCATCTTCTTGCAGGCGGACGAGTTTAGCAGCTGTCAGACTGCCCAGTACTTCTCTGACATATCTAAAGCAAAGAATACAAAGCAGAGGTAAAGAATCAGTCTATTTCTGATGACTAATGGGTGGTTGGTGGGTGCTCAGGTGAGGTTTGGTCCTCCTTCATTTCAACCAAACATCCACATTGTTGTCCTTTAAATTAAATCTCTCCTCCATTTTTAAAAACTTTTTTGAGCCTCTCTTGTGTAACACCCCTAATCTTTGGCACTAATACAACCTTATTCATTATTGGGATGAAGTGCCGTAAAACTTCTATTGTAGCCTACAAAACAAATGATAAACAATTTTTTTAATAAGGCTGTCACGTATACTGAACTTCAAATACACTATCAACCTTTTTTGTGCTATTAATACACCTCACATGGGAAAATCTGCAAATATTTTTTTTAAAGAGTCCTTATAAAAATCTTTACACCAAAAAGTATATTTAGGCCTACAGTTAAGTTCTGAACATATTATATATATAGATCTCTATTTAAAGGGGGCAGCCCAGTTTGTAACAGGCCCAGTTTGTCATGATATAATTACAGCACTTTATCAGTGTATAATTTTTTTGATCTCCACCTTTAAATTGGTTTAGTAAGTGTGTAAGAATTAGCGGCAATTAGCCTGAGATCCCTCTAAAATGTCAATTCAGCTTGCTTTGTTCAATATTTATTCCTTTTTGTATGCAAATCAAAGCAAATAAGACAAGGCATACTCTTGTAAAATTTCATCAAAGAAATGTTCTTCCGTTAAAAACAACAGAAAAATGAAATTTAATTCAAACAATCAATCAAATATTCTTCAAATTTACACTTTTTCAGAGTGCCAGTGATAATTTCCATCATGCAGGGCAGAGTCAGAGGCTGTGACAAACTTGCACGCCTCCTATGAAATAATAACATTTCAAAAGAGATCGTAATAATTTTATACAGATCAAAAGTCACTGATTTTACATTCTTTCCATCAATCAAGACTCTATGTGAAGAGATACCATATAGATCTATGTAGGCCTATTTATCAATTTTTAAAAATCTGATATTGCCTGACTTTCGATATATTCCAACTTTGAAAGTAAAGGTGCTTAATGTCATGAAATTTGTTTTTTTGTTTTTTGGCATAATAATAGGCCACTATTATTAGGTCTAGATTCTAGATCTAGATCTACATCACAAGCGAACATATATGCAATGCAAGTCTTCAAATCCAAATAATGGTGGCCCTTATGGCAGCTAAAAGAAACCCTCACGGCAGACGCACCTTTTACTTTTAGAGAGCATCTAGACTCTAAAATCTAAGCCTTATGCCTTATATTATATATATAAGTTATATATTTTAGCTGCAGACTATAGCCTAGCCAAGACATCTAGATCTAGATTAGATCTAGTAGACTATATATTATATGACCACTGTAGCCCTTGCAATTGCTTTCAGGAAAATATCAAACCTAAAATTGCAACATCAAATTTAGGCCTATAGGCTATGTTATAAATCTAATGATAAAGTACCGCTGGTCCGGTATTCTTCAATCTTACCGTTTTATCCCCCCCCCCCCCCCCTTTTTTCCCCGTGCACGCCCCAGATTTTTTAGGTCACGGTGGCATGCCCTCCTGAAACCTCTATATTAGGCCTAGAATTAATGTTGTCAAAACACGCAGGCATAGGGCCAGGCCTAAAAACAGTATTAAGTATCCACACATCATATTTTAATCTAAAACTCTGCCGTGGAAATTGCCTTAAAGTAAAATCACGCACAAAAAAGCACTAATAATAATAATTTTTAAAAACAAAAGTGCAAGTGGTACTGTTGTGAATGAAAAGACGGGTATTTGGATAGAATCTAGATCTAGATCTAGAACACACTTAGAGGCTCACGTTTTATACCTCTCTTTCAGTTTATTAGCATCTGCAATTTCCTGTGAAGTCATTGGTTTTGAAGCACTTAGCAAAGTGGGCAAGATTCCTGTATCCTTCGCAATTGACAAGGCGAACGAGATGCATCCGTTGTTGCAAATCTCTGAAATTTTATCACCGTACTTAGATGCAGAAGACATTTTAGTCTATTTTACTAAGGAATGAAACTAAAAATTTTTTTAAAAACTTGCAAATGGTAATCCACTCAAAGATTACTTTTCCTTTTCTTTCCTTTTTTCAGACCTTTCGGTGAGAAAACCAAATCAAAATAAAAATAGGGCCCACAGAAAATGGAGCATAGAATCTACTCCGCACCGCGACCTGGAAGGCAAGGAAGTGTCCAGGTCACGATGCTTTATATAGGACAGACCTGGGCCAAAAAGGTTGTAAATAGAAAACTAGAGATCTCAGCTATGACGTCACCTATGTAAAGAGAGGAGGGACGCGTCGGCCCACTTGTATAAAATTTAATCGAAGTGGCTAGCCGTACTTAGATCTAGGTTTGGCCCTATCGACTCCAACCTGTTAAGTACACAGGTCTCATTAGATCTAGATCTAGTAATTATTCAGGTTCAAATGCATGCAAGTCAGTAAGGCACCTTTTGGTTTTGTCTGGAATACAAATACTTTAAATTTAAAGGCATTGCAAACTAAAAATATCATTTACAATTCAGCCTCTTCCAGGTGTACTGACTGGTTTTCCGTGGGGTGCCCACTAGAGCTGGATCGGGCCGATCTCCCGACTCGATCGCCTGATCGACAAACACGTTTGTTTTTGAGGCGATCGAGTCGCCGATCGGCCGATCCCGTCCGTAGTGGGCTATGGCGGCGCGCTTCTCATGTCTGACATGCATGACGTCACAGCTGAGATCTCTAAGTTCTTTGTGACCTCTTTGAACAAGGCCAAGATCACAGACCCAGATAAACAAAACTCAAATTATCAACGTACAATAGAGTATCAGTTTAGCAGTTCTTGTAATTCTATGACGGAGGATCATATTCATACTTTCTTTACTTCAGCTTTTTTATTGCACGTTTTTATGCATTACTCGGACTCGGTTGTTTCGATGGGTAATGAATGGGCATGGGTATTCGGGTCAATATAATGACAAAGTGGTCAAACCACCAAAGCTTCTTTGAGTACTTTGACAAAAGCGAATAAACTTGTCTTAGACCTAGCCTATATCCTGGAACATTAATTTAAAAAATTGCTCAAAACTTCCGAGTCAGCCAGTGTGATGTTTGTGACCTAGGGTTGATGTCACTGTCGGTGTTGCCTTGTCGTGGGAAATAAAAATTAGACGAAACGAAAGAGTCAGTCAGAGGAACTTTTCAATGTTTAGTGTTTTGTAAGATCTAGATCTAGATCAGATCATAATCATAGAGTTACCCCCTTTTAAACCAATAGCAGAGACTCTAATACTCTCTGCCAATAGAGTCTAGTAATAGTGTGTGTAGATCTAGATCTAGTAGTGTAGCCTACATCTATCTATGATCTAGAATCTAGATATATATAGATCTAGACTCTTGATCTACCTGCTAGATCAAGGACCTGGGTAGGTTGCCTTGTCTCGAAGTCTCGATTTTTTAAAAATGTGGTCGTCGTGCCACAGTAAAGTAAAGTAAAAAAGTAATTTGTGTTCTGCCTCCGCTTGACTCAACCCAATATTTAATAAGGCCTTCAGCCTAGGCTTTCTCAATCTAGACTAACAATAAGGGCGAAAAAAAGAGAACGCCGATTTCGGAGACTGACTCAGTAAGCGCCGATAGGAATAAAAATTCCCTTTTCCAACTTGCCCCACAGTTGACATAGATTCTAGATCTAATCTAGAGCTGGCCGACTGCAGCCTGCAGCTTTAAACTCGGATCGGCGTTGTCAGCTTTATCGCCATATCGGAATGCAAACTAGAATCTAGATCTAGAATCTACATTCTTATTATGCCAAAAAACTGGGAAGGGCGTCTCGCTGTCAACTCGCCGCCACAGTGCTTCTTGTCGTATTTCCATTTTTTTAACCGTGAAAATGAGACTTCTTTTTTAACTCACTTTTTGTATGAACTGTTTTCACTGTTTTTTGTTATTAAAAATGGAGGTACGACAAGAAAGCACCGAGGTCGCAAACTCTCAATGCCGTCTCGCCGTCGCCAACTCGGGTTCAGCGGTTTGTGTGACGTCACCCGACTGGACTGGGGACAATTTTAAATGGTCATTTCAGAGCTGTGGTGCTTCACGGTAGACAAAAACTATTTTTGAAATCAGCATCGTCAAAATTTGGTGGTCACCGAGCAGAGTTGCATTTTAAGCAATGTTTAAGAAAATTAGTGTTTTTTCCCAAAAAAATTATGCTTCATGAATACCAGCTGTGGTGTAATTAATTTTAATTTTTTTCTTAGAAGATCTAGAATCTAGATCTAGATAGGCTTTACTGGGTCAATAGAGTGTGTGATTTTAAAGAGACGAGGTATGTGTAGTTTTTCATTGTGCGTCTAGAGACTGCATCTGGCTGTGTCGTGTCTTGTCAAAATGGATGTCGAATTACAATAATAATAAAAATGAAGATCATTTCTATAGCGCCCACTCCCGTGTAAACACAGCTCTAGGCGCTTTACATAAAAATACTAGAAACAATATTCAAGCACGTGACACAAACACAAAAATACACACACTCATAAACACATACACACATACTCACACACATACACACTCACGAACACGTATAACATGCACACATGTGCACACGCCAAACAACCACACACACACACACAAACACACGCACACACTCACATCTACTTGGTTATTATAAATCACACGCGCACGCTTACACGTCGTCACGAAATTAGCATAAAATAATCTACACACAATGCAATTCACAAAATACACATATATATGGATACATAGTCATTTAACATAACATTGTATTGAACATGAGACAAAAAAAGATGTCATTAAATGTGTCTTTAAAGATTTTTAAAAAATTTAGACTCAGATGTTGTATTCTAAAGAGTTGGGGAAGAGAGTTCCAAACTGATGGAGCAAGGTGGGCGAACAATGTTTCAGCTAATTTTTTTTCCCCCTTTTCTAAGAACTCTTAAAAGATACTGATCGCCTGATCTTAGTGATGTAGATGGAACATACATCTGGATGAGATCACTAAGAATGAGGGAGCTTTGTTATTGACAAATTTATGACATAATATTGCAATTTTATATATTTATGATATACATTCTACCTGACACGGGGAGATAATCTCTCTCCTCTCTCTCTCCCTCCCTCTCTCTCCCCCCCCTCTCCCTCCCTCTCACCCCCTCTCCCTCCCTCTCACCCTCTCTCTCTCCCTCCCTCCCTCCCTCTCTCCCTCTCTCTCTCCCTCCCTCCCTCCCTCTCTCCCTCTCCCTTCTCCCCCTCCCCTCTCCCCCTCCCCCTCTTTCCCTCTCTCTCTTCCTTTCTCTCTCTCCCCCCTCTCTCTCCCTCCCCCTCTCCTCCTCTCCCCCTCCCCCTCTCGGATGACGAGTCCATTTTTGTAAATTTGTAATCACTCAAGACCTAGAACTAGATTCTAGATACGGTAGATCAGACAACAGTAGATGTAGATCTATGCATCGCGAGCTTAAAGGGATCGGCAATAGGCGCCCTCTATGTGGAGTCAAGCAGACACCGATTGGCGCCTGTCGGCATCGATTTTCAGCTGTAAAAGCTTCGGCGTTCTCTATGTTATCGCCCTATGACTAAGGCCTCCAGCCTAAGGCCTAAGGCCCTAAGGTGTGAATTACTTTGCTGGGCTGGCTGAAGTGTTCAGTAGGCCTAACCCTTCCTTTCATCTTTACTGTCGCAGATTTCACAGAATCAAACCTAATCTAGAGATCTAGATCTAGGCCTAGATTTCTAGATCTAGATCTAGAATCTAGATCTATATATATATATCTAGACCTAAATTCGGCACTCCTTGGATGGTGGTCCCGACTTTTGTGCAGGGTGCAGGCCTACTGGATATCGATACTGATTTAAATAGTCGGTAGGCCTATCAGTGTAAATGTTTTATAGATCTATATCAATATATGTTTTATCAGTAGCCTAGAGATGTATTTTATCTAGATCTAGATCTAGATCTAGCCTACAAAACGAGCAGTAAAATTTCACTTGTTATTTTTACCAGGAAGGAAATCTATATAGGCTACTCTAAATGCAAAAAAATTGCAAGACATTTTTTCCGTCGTTGTTCCCAACATAATTTTAGATTTTATGAAGGCCATTGGCCTTTATTGAAAATTATAAATGTAGAGGGAAATTAAATTATTAAAAATTTTTATGTTACTTAGGAAAGTTGTTTTAGATTGAAAATATATTTACACCGAATTTTAAATATTTTAACGTTTTAAGATCTAGATCTAGATCTAACTACTGACCCGAGCTCAGCCGTACAGTGAACTGTTGCAAATAGAAAACTAACTTGTGTTTCGTGCGCTCATATGACCTTATTTATGCAGTTGCGAGCGCCGTAAAACCCCATACTAAACTTACGAAACAGAATCACCTTTCTCAATAGATTATAATCCATTATCATCTTTCGTTTCTCCCCCCCTCCCCTCCTCCTTTGTATGCCCTTCCCCTCCCATATATAATCCATTGCTTTGTTCACTCTTTTTCCCCTTTCTTTCCACTCCACACTCTGAGAGGAAAGGAAAAGGAGGTGAGATTGTTTTCAGTGCAGTTACCGAATAAAATAATATATTTAAAAAATTGAATTTTGTCTTGTTTTCTGAATCTGATGTAAATTTTTGTTTTTCCTCTATGTGTTAGAGATACTGTATAAAGAAGAGTTGCAATCATCACCACTATGGAAATTGGGACAGAATATTCCTCTTGGCAGAGTTTCCTGTCTGCACTGGAGTATTATTCAAAAACCAACAAGGTAAGTAAATTTAATTCTTTTTTTGTAGAAAGAATTGGATCTCTCTCTCTCTCTCTCTCTCTCTCTCTCTCTCTCTCTCTCTCTCTCTCTCTCTCTCTCTCTCTCTCTCTCTCTCCCTCCCTCCCCCCCCTCTCTCTCTCTCTCTCTCTCTCTCTCTCTCTCTCTCTCTCTCTCTCTCTCTCATGTTCCCTTTTAGCTGGCCCGATGAGTTAATCAAGGACAAAGAGAATAAGAAAATTATCTCTGTTGCAAGCTGGATTTCTTTTTTAAATTTAAGCTTTGTATGGTCTCACTGACCTGATTCGTTTCTCTTTCTGTGATGATAGGCTCAAGTGGTTGATGTGGTTTTCTCTTTCTTTTAGTCAATGCTTGTTTTTATTGTTCCCACTTTGCTTTTGTTCACAGATACTCAAATCTCTGGCTTTGTGATTGCTGGCATTTGTTGTTTTGTTTGTTTTAAGATATAGTCTTGTCTCTGAATTTTCCAAAATTGGAATTATTTGGATTTTTTTTTTCACTGCTCTAGTTATAGAGAAATATTAACTAATTTAGTGTCGCACCCTTTGATTTTGCCCTTGTGTTTTTGTTGCAGGTTTTGTACATTATTGGCACCTGCAAATCAGTTGAATCTGCTAACAAAAATGATTCACTTGTGGCGAAATTTCCAGTGAAGTTCAAATACTGCTTTGCGCGAATGGTGTGCAACCATTTTGGGAGCTACAAAAGTCGCAGTTCAGGAGCACGACAAAATCAGTCGTAAGTCTTCTATTCTTTGGTGTTGGGCCGTCAGGATGTCTAATGTTTACTACCTACCCCCCGGGGCAGTGCCACTGACTGAAGTGTCCTTAGGCGATTCCCAAAGGGAGGACATATATATATATATTATATATATATATCTCGTTCATGCACAGTAGAATTGTAAATGGGCTGATTCATCAATGTCATGCTCATAACTGTTCCTGATCTACAACAGGGAACTACTGCTTTTTCTATCCTAATCCTTACTATTGTCATTTTTTCTCTACTAGACTTCTTTTGTATGTTTTTCACACTCTTGTGACCCACCATTTCCGGGGTGCCTTGATAGTCGAAGCAGACTTTGTGCTGTTGAAGCTAGAGAGGTGAGCAGAGTAAGTCTGATTCCCTGTAAGGACTTCTCTGTTGACATCCACCCCTTGGTGCTCATATATGACCTTATGCCGTTGCGAGCGCCGTAAAACCTCTACTAAAACTAACTAATGTTCACCTGTTAAATTTTACCTGCTATGCACGTATATTTCCATTAATGGTTTTATGCTCTCATGTATGGTCACCCGAGTGCAACAGCCTTGTATCCCACAAAACAAAATTTTACAGGAGCAGGAAGTTATTGTGATGTCAATTCATCTTATAATGTTTATTAAAAATGTGGTGTCGGTGGCCTAGTGGTTGGGCTACCGGACTCATAATCGTGAGGTTGTGGGTTCGCGGGTTCGAGCTGCGGGCCTGACGTTGTGTTCTTGGGAAAGGCACTTTACACGAATTTTCCTCACTTCGCCCAGGTGGGAATGGGTATTCGACCATAGACAGCGAAAGATCTTACCTATAAATGACTGCTTGCACTGTATGCTTCCCAGAAAGTTGAGGTAGTTTCAGAATACTCTCAGGTCTGCTGGGATAATATAACTTATAGATTGTGAAGCGCTTAAAGCTTGCTGTTGAGCGGGAATTTGTGCTATACAAATGCTATATATTATTATTATTAAGAATTAAAGTAGTTTTGTTGCACTGGCGATGCTTATTGAGCTACATTTTTAAACATTTGACACCAAATCAGCAACATTATATTTAGTAACAAAAAAGCAAAAATGTGTTTTTTGACATTTTGTGTGGGTTAAAGGGTTGTTGTACTCAGGCGACGATATCATATATAATAATATGTAGTCCGTGTCATTACAACGAGGGTATCATTTTGCTTGTGCAAAGCATTGAGTAAGTCAAGTTCACTGAGGTCTTGGACAGAATGCATAGTGATTGTTCAGTGCTTTTAGGACAAGTTTGCCGTAAAACAATTATTTTTGTATCAAAGGAAACATGGGAATCAACCATCTGCTAAACCCACTTGAAGACATCCCCAACTAACTGCACACACATGAATGCTTGCACATATTCATGCACACAATTTCCACCCGCTGACCCCTCTTTCCCTAGAAATATTGTGTTAAAAAGTGTGTTTTGTTTTTAAAGATAGGGAAATGTATGGTGTTGAACTTTACAAGGATGTAGTAAGATAAAAGAACATTGTTTCAAATAAAATGTGATGTAGTGTTGAATAAGATCTAGTGCTGTGGTGCACGTTTTCTCTTCATATATCTGTGTATATTGTTTCTGAAATGGAATCTAACTGAATCTACTGCATCTCTTAGTAATGGGCAGCTATTTATCAATTGAGTGCAGAATTCCAATTTTGGCGGAAAATATCGGTTCATCTTAAATGTACCTGTGAATTAAAGTCACATGATTGTTCTTGGAGCTTGTCTTTTTGTTGACAGAACTATCTAATCTCAAAAACTCCAATTCCAAGGAGAAGCAAAATTCCATCTTTCTTCTTCCTCTTTCTCGATGACAGCAGCTAGACAGTCAGTTCGATGTCGCACACAAACTGTGCAGTTTGCTTCAAGTCTGAGAGACTGCCATAGAGCTTTCTCTCAAGGGGAGCCACATTCTGCCACGTCTGTGTACGCAGGGTGGCGTAGCGCGGGCAGTGCTGAAGGATATGGTTGGCATCCTCTTGGTCGTGTCCACATTCACAGATCGCTGGCTTTCACACTTTTAATTTGGTGTGCATATGGTATTTAAGTCTGTTGTGGCCACAACAGATTCTAAAGATTGTGACCTGGTCTGCTCTATTTAGTATGTAGTAGGGGTCATGTCTGTTGTGTTTAGGGTTGGGACCTTTTCCTCCTGTTTCTTAAGGCAGATTTTATTATATTAGTGCTTTGGACTCTGAGAGATCCATTCCATCTTCAATCTGGGTCATTTTGGCTCCTTCTTTGGCTAAGTCGTCTGCTTTTTCATTTCCAAACAAAATTTAAATACTGGTTTATTCTGCGGCATCCCAAATATGATTGTTTTTCCACATAGCACAATATCATCAGTATTTGCAAAATTACATCTTGTTAGAAATATCATATATATCGTATACTCTTAGAGTGAATGAAAAGAGTCTTTTCGTTTCTCTTTTTGCCTTTTTCCAGAACATGTAAGACTGGCTGCAGGTCGTCTGTCCTGGTGTCTGTGAACAAGAGTCGAACAGCTCTGGTGGTGAAGGAGGCCAACCTCTGCCACACGCATGGCACCCCGGAGACGGTCTTCAACAAGTCTGCCCAGAACCGTGGGCTGCAGGGGGAGGAGCGACGAATGGCCAGTGTTTTGCTCAGAGCTGGAGTACCTTTAGTAAGAGTTCAAGAGTTTATAGCGAAGGCATGTGACAAATATCCTACAAACAAAGACCGGCAGAACACCACAAGCGGAGTGAAAAGTTCTCCCGAAAATATGAAGGCGCTTGAATTTGAATACCTGTCTGATCTTGATAAGATTATGTCTGAAGATCCAGAGGCTGAAATAGAAATGGTTAACTTTGACTTGGTTCCTGGAGCCATCTACATTCAGACCAGTGTGATGAGAAAGAGAATGAAAGCACTTAAAGATGGGCTGCTCCAGGTTGTCCCGTACTCAGTGAACAGTGAGGGAATGTCTGTGTTAAGCATTCTCGGCATTGACTCGGATTTTAACACACATGTGCTCTCTTTTTGTTTGGTAGTATCGGGGGCTGAGGCGTCCTTTCAGTATTTCATAGAGGCTTTTGTGAGGAATAATCCAGAGTTTTGCGATACACTTTTGGGAATTGTAGTGGATTGCAGTAAAGATAGCGTTGATTTTGTTCAGCTTATGGTTCCACAAACGAATATAGCGTGGAGCAGATCACACATTTTTGAGAAGTTCACAGAAGAAATAAAAGTATCTGGTAAGGATTTTCACAAACAGTTTCAGCTAAGAAAAGATTTGATGAATGCGCAAACTGAAGACGAATATGATTCGAAACTGAAAGAGCTTTTGAATTCTAACTCGACATCCATTTCCAAGGAGTTCCTTAGAACATGGGACTCTCTTAAGGAGTTGTGGGTCCAGTATGAAATTTCATCTGTCAGAGGACTGTCCTATCAGAAGTGTGCTGTTGAAATGGATTATACCAATTCACTCAAAGACTACATCAAGTCGAGCTCTACACTCTCTGATGTGATTAAATCTTTATTTCGTTTTGAGAAAAGTAGCGGAAAAGGGGAGAAGGAGAAGCTGTCTGTTATCTTGAACTTAGATCCGTGTTTTGAGGCTTATCGTAGTCTCTGCTTCTCAGAGGCTGCCCGGGCTGTGTGCTCCCAAGTCACCATTGCCCTGAACAGCTCTTACAACTTTAAGGTACAGACAGACATGATATTTGTAAAGAGACGAGATAATGACGATGAGTTTATTCTCAATACCGCCGGCAACAAATGCACATGTCAACACTTCATGGATTCTGAACTGCCCTGCCAACATGTCTTTGCTTTCCTAAAACACTCTAACAAACCGTTGTATGATGAAGCTCTTATACCTGAGAAGTGGCAAGTGTTTGGCAAGTCATTGACCTTGGATGCCCTGGCTGAATCCCTTGCCCGAGGTCATGTGCCGTCGTCAGCGCAGCACGACGAGCGTCTGCGAGAACTTCAGACTGTGGCCAGGGACATCCTCAGTGAGTGCTCCTTGCATTCGTATGAGCAGATGGGCAAGGATTGGACTCTGCTCACCCAAGTGCTGGCTGTCTTGAAGGACAGACAGTCTCACGCGGCCAAACTTGTTCCTGGCGATGCTTCAGTGGATGAAATAACACCCAGTGTTCAGTCTTCTGAGGTTGGATCGTTGCCAGTGCGAAGGAGAGGACGGCCCAGGAAGGTGGATAAGGTAGCTAGTAGGAGCCCGGCTAAGAGTGTTAGCGTTACGAGTACTACTGTCAGACATAACTTGAGGACCAATATCAAACACAAGTTTGTGAAGCGTGAGCCCGTTTTTGATGAGGCAGAGGTATCATCTGACGTTTCACAAGAGGTCGTAAACAGTACCATAGAAGATGCTGAGAACAACTGTCCTTCCAGCAATAAAATTAATGAAACGATAAGTTCACCGCAAAATAAATTGCCATCAATCGTTGGTCAGACTATATCAGTAACTGAGGAAGAGATGCCTTTGCGAGATATGGAAGATAAACAGAATTCTTTAGACCCTTTGAAGCCTATCCCTGACAAAGATCTGGAACATTCACAAAGATCCCCCGAGCATCAGGACCCCAAGCAAGGTGTACGGTGTGGCTACAGTACAGACACATCTGCCACGGGTCAGCGACCGGCTGCTGTCAAACGTTCTCACTCTGAAGTGGACGAGAGCAGTTCGGAGAGTGCTAACTCTTCAGATGACGGGGATGATGAAGACGAGGATGAAGAAGTGAATCTGGAAAAGCTTAAGGCGAAACGAGCAATGAAGAGGAAAGAGATAGATCTGTTTCTCGAGGGGATGTCGGAAGACGTCATCAGTGAAGTACTTCAGGTTGCCTCCACAGCTGATTCAGTGGAGGAGTCCTTGAAGGCTGTTGGTTCTTGTCAAGCGAAAAAGCCTGTTGATGTTCTCATTCACAGCTGTAAAGATTCTGAGGTAATATTTAGCAATATTTGTTGCCTGTTATATATGTGTACTTTGTACATTTTTGTTGAACGGTGTCATGAAATAGGATATGTTTATTAAGGGCTTGTATTTTGAATTTTTCAACTTGATTATTTTCTCCATGTCCAGTTCAAAACATTTGTTACATCGTTGTGCCCTTTTTTTCGTCAATGAAGAGGGTGGCTCCTGGGCTATTTGTTGTGTTTCTTTCGCCCTGTCATTTGTCTGTAATCTTTCTCTTCATCTCTAGAGATATTATAAAAATGCATTTGTTTTGCTTTGTGCTTGTCAGGAATATGTTTTCAAGTATGTGTTCCACTTCAAATGTAAAAGATGAGATAGGTCTATATTGATAAATGGATTAGGTGTCTTTATACTGTGAAATGTTACTTAAGAGAACAGACACCCCCTGGGGCGGTGCCACTGACTGAAGTGTCTTTAAGCCATTCCCAAAGAGGGGACATTTCTCGTTCATGCACAGTAGAATTGTAAATGGGCTGATTCATCAATGTCACGCTCATAACTGTGCCTGATCTACAACAGGGAACTTCTGCTTTTTCTTTCCTAATCCTTACTATTGTCATTTTTCCTCTACTCCTTTTGTATGTTTCTCACCCTCTTGGGACCCACTATTTCCGGGGTGCCTTGATAGTCGAAGCAGACTTTGTGCTGTTGAAGCTAGAGAGGTGAGCAGAGTAAGTCTGATTCCCTGTAAGGACTTCTCTGTTGACATCCACCCCTTGGCGCTCATATGACCTTATGCAGTTGCGAGCGCCGTTAAACTTTTCTACTAAAACTAAAACTAAGAGAATAGACCTTTGGATTTAATGTCCTTCTCCAGTAGGATGGAACTGAATCTGTGGAGAGTGTTTGTTGAACTCAACACAACCCAAGCTTAGAGAAGGGTTCATTAGGGACTCCAGCCAGGAATATATATATCACCCACTCCGTTAATGAATTTAGTGTCCTTGAAGCTGAAAACTTTTTAAAGATTTGTACCTGGCCCAAAGAGGTTCTACTTAGTACAAAAATTCTTGCAGTTACGTCACCCATGTAAAGGAAATGGGGCTTTGTGTGCCCAAACTGGGACTTTGAGTGTTGAGGGCAAGACATGCACAATCCAACAGATGGATGAGTATTTTTCTCATGTGAAGACGCACTATGGTCTACGGAGGAAATCTCTATGCTTGCATTGAAATGTAGGGGCAGGGCGGTGTGGAATATACACATTACTAGAGCTCGAGGGGTACAGGGTGGGGGCTCAGATTGTTCTTGTAAATGGGGGCACGCCGGCTGTGCCGTTGGTCTTACTGTTTGTGTTGTCCGTTTCAATGCCTTTTTCATTGCATTTTCTGATCTGTGCTGTCAGACTTTGTGACCCCGTAGGTTGTAAATTTGTGGGGGGAGCGTGGTGAAACTAGGGGCTCGTCAAAAGAACGAAATCGGAGAAACAGGTCTTTTTCCGTCAGTATGGAAATATTTATCAAATGTTTTTTTTTTTATCTTTACCTCTTTTAGGTCCATTCATATACAAACACATTTCAATTTGAATTTTACTGAAAAACATTGTTTAAAAGCATAAAATGTGTCATTTTTCAGTTTTCAAAGACTCTTTTGCTATTGGAGTTACCAAACTTTAGCGTCCATTTTCTCGCTAATTTCACCACTGAAACTTCCTTCAATCGCAAATATCTTGAATTCTATTCAAGACAAATGGATATTTTTTTCATTGGATGCCAGGCTAATAAATCAGCTTTTAGATGATACCAATAACTCCAAATGCCCAAAAATTGAGGAGTGCCTGATTCCACCCCGTCGTGTGACACATCATTTATTGTTCTACTGTGTGGAAGCTCAAGTTTTCAAATCTGTCTGGTCCTTTTTTTTTTCCTTTAATTTTTTAGATTTTTTTTTTTTAACCTTGTTTCCTGAAGAAGGACCACATGCTCAAAGTGACCAACGCTTTGTCTAAAAGGTATTGGATCTGGAAAAATGCAACCAGAGTATTACCTTTTTTATGTTGATGTGTTCAGGGGATGTGAGAGAGTAAAGGGGACTTTTTTTTGGGGGGAGGGTAGTGAAAGAGAGAGAGGAGATAAAATATGTGTTGATATAATGCTATTTAATGTACGTATATTTTGTATGGCAGAAACTGGTGAAAGCACTCAGTTTATTTCTTCCATTTGAAGATCTATAAAATATCTTGTCTTACCGAAGCTTATCATATTTGCAGCTGATGGATTACGCTGCAGAATGTCTCAAGATTTCTCATCCGGGCTTTGACCTTAAGTCTTACAAAGCTGCTGCCAGTGTGGTGTGCCGAGCCCACGGGATAGGGACCCCAGTCCAGCAGGTCCTACAGTCTCTCAGTGCGTGGCCGGGACACCTGCCCCGCGTCCCCTCCTCTCGTCCCTTCGAGGAAGAGATTGCTCTGAACACTGACCAGTGGTTGACTGTCTGTGGACACAAACTGGACAAAGGGGACCTTGCGACTCTGCAGTCAAGTCGGGAGCTCAGCTCCAATGTATGTACATGTGTTTTTGCATCTGTGTGTTCTGTTGGTATTTGTATGTATTCACTTTTTTTTTTTTAAGTCGTTGTATGTATTCGCTGAGTCTGTCTTAGTTGTCTTCGGAACATGCATGCCTTATTAGCTGCCCTGGTTGTTGGAGGGTGCTTCTGGGTAAGGTCCTCATTTTTTTCTTCTTTCTCGCTGTTGTTTCTGTGTGTCAAGCCTGACCTTTTTCCTGCAGTAAATGTGGGTGATTGGCGGGTGCTCTGGTGTAGTTTGCTTCTTCTTTTCTATTGAACATCTGTCGTCTTTATCTCCTCTCCTTCTTTTTTTATATGTTACTCTCTTGTAACACGTCTAATTTTCGGTACTTATATGATCTTTTTGTGGTGCAAGTGCCGTAAAACTTTTACTAAAACTGCAGTAAATGACTGCTATTTTGTCAATAAGGTTTTGTTTACTCAAACAAGCCCTGTTGTGAACATGAACATGCAAGGACCTCTGAAAAAGGGGTGACTGTGGTTGCAGGCTGGAAGGTGCTTCCTACTTTCTATCCGTAAGATTGTGATGTTGCATAGGGGCATGCGAGTTTCAAAGCTGACACATTTTGTAGGGTTAGAGTATGGGTCAAAGCTCCGTTTTATAAACAAAGGAAATATCAGAGGCGAACATCAGGACCAACAGCCCACTATTAAATCTTGTGGTATGATGTGTTGATGATGACCTAAGGACACATATCGCTCGACGCGTGATTCTACCACGTAAGTGCCAAGAGACAAATTTTTCAGGAGAAGCAAAAAACTTTTGTTTCGTTATGCTCGTACCTATGAATCTGAAATTCAGATATATGATATAATATGAAGTAGGACGATTGTCTGTTATCAACTTTTAAGAAAAAAAGCTTTCTTACATAAGTTACTGAACATAGAGCTAACAAAATCTGCGTGATTCAACCGCTTAAGTGACAGTATAAGGCGTCTAGGCGTTTGATTCACGTTATTCAATGCCACTCAACGACCGCCAATGGTCGCTTGTGCGTTTGAGTAATCAGTCAAAGCAAATCATAATAGTTTTAAAGAATAATTATAAAGTTAAGAGTAATTGTTTCAGTTATTTGGTTGGGTCTTCTGGTACAGAGCTGTTTTTGACCTCATGGAGTTGGTAAAAAAGACCATTCATCTCAACGTTCAATTTGTATGGGATGTTTTTGTTCAGTGTGTATCAAAGGCTACGAACGTATGTGACAACGGGGTCGTTTTTGTTTCAGCCAGGTCTGAATAGTCCAGAACTTGAGCATTAATAGGGGTTGAGG